TATATACACACACAAAATATGTGTATATACATATACTATAGGATAACCATATTATTATATTATGTTACATTATTGTTTGAATATTTCTGTTACAGTAGTTTCAGAAGAAAAGTTTCATATCATAACACGGAAGCCTATTATATATTATAGTGTATCTGGTTGTACCATCTTATACCAGATTGTCTTTAAACTATATGGTATTTACTCCGCCATATTATAGTACCGCTGCAGAATCATTGAAAGTGCTATAGTGATACAGCAATACGAGACTTTTCTTCACATAGAACGTTAGACTGACTTGTAACATGTTTTGCAGTGGTGCCAAAACTAATTGATGTGGGAGTTTATTTTATCTCAATATATGTATCATATCGAATTAACATAATATGAAATAGAATAAGGAAATGCTTGTATGACAGACCGCAGCAAACCTCATCTAAGTCATGTCAATACAGTTCGTTGCTTCCACCTGTATATTGCTTGAATCAGCCCACTTGTACGTAAAAACTTGGGCCTCGAGCTCTCCGGCCCCCCCCCGCCGCGAGCTCCCCGCAGCCCCCGCACGCTTTTGCACCCACCCAACCCATGCCTTGCAGGCCAACAAAAGGGCAAAAACAAATCTGCCTTGCATCATTGAAGCATGCGGGCAGCTGGGCTCAACATCCTTTTGACACGCAGTAGTTCTCGAAGCGGGGCTGGTATGCTACTGGTACTGCGAGTGCCCACAAGAAAAAGCCGCAACTGTTGAGGACTTCGATGGTATCTTCGGGCTTGCTCTTTCCGGCCTGGCGTCACCATCTGGCTGGGCTCCTGGCAACGTCGCAGAAATTGCTGCACTCTTCTGGATGCATAGGGTTGAAGCGCATCAGGAGCGCGAGGCTGACAGCTTGATGATTGTCATGTTGCACATGCTCTTAAGCGAATGATATGGACTGATTCTGTTCAGCCAAATTCAATTGATCAGTCTCCCCGAACTCCGAAGTTGTTGAGATGCTCGCAGGTGTGCAAAGTCCTCTGGAAAGCTTGTTCAGAACCCACGGCAAGCAGATGAAAGACCAGGTCCCTCGTGCCTTCAAGCGCCTTCTGTCAGAGCATATTCCCTGGCTGAGAAGGTGTTTTCGTTTCAGATGCCCAGCGACCCTATGAAGCCAGGTGGCTCGGCACAAGCGGGCCTTTGGATACTTTGGATAGCTGGGAAATCCTCTCGGGGCAGGGCTCCGAGCGATCAGAATCAGCACGCCGTGTTGCCAAGGACAGCTCCTGCTTGGCGAAGTTCCCTCGACAACTGCGGTGTGCCGTGCTGATAGTGAGTTCGAACTCAACCTTGGCGAGGTACCTGTGGAGCGGTACCCACAAGGGATCCGGTGGCTTGGCAGCACGCAGCAAGGCCTGCAGCACGCAGCGACTGGATTGACAGGTGGCTGGACGTGATGGAGACTCCGGGTGCTTCAGGCTCGGCTGGCTTAGAAGGGCTGAAACTACAGCGGTAAAGCCGGAGGCGTTTAAAGATTCTACTAGACGCGGCAAAAATGCAGCACCATCTGGATTGGGGCAGGTTCCGGATGCTTCCCGCTCTCTCTCACACACACTCTCAGGGAGGGGCAATTCAGCAAATTTGAGCATTCTGGAGCTCCCCAGTCTTCTTGGTTTAGGCCCAGGCACCATCTTGACAAATGCCGCAGGAAGCGTTTGTTTCAGCCGTCGGAGGGTGAAGCCACCATCAAAGGTCAGACCCAAATAATCTACTGTCGGAAATGGCTTGCCCATCGTCTTTGCTGTCCTTGGTGCGCATTGTTTTCATTCTGCCTCAGGCCGCAGCGCCTACAGCTATTGGGCAGTCAGCATGGACAAAGTCTCGTTCGCGGGGATGTCTCTCACCGGTCGCGTAGGCTGCGGCCACAGGCGATGCACAGCGCCCCTTTGCGCACCGCGCTTGTTCCGACTCCTTGCGACTCTGACTCCCCGAGGCCTCGTAGATTCGGGCACCAGCTGCTTGGTGCTGCCCGGCCGCGATGCGCAGCGCTTCTACGATGCCGTGCGCAAGGCGTTCAGAGATGTTCAGAGCTTCTTTGGCATCTGCCGACTGCCGCTGCATTTCTTGTGGCTGGACGAGAGGTTCTTCTGTCAAGCACAGGTGCTTCTAGGGGTTAGAAAGGAAGGAGCATTAACATGCATGAATTGAGGGAGTTTGGGCATAGCCACCTTTGCAGTCCCGGTATGTGGACAGGCCCAGTACACTGACTCGCGATGCAGTGCGTTGCCATCCTTGACGCTGACATTGGGTGGTCAGGCCAGGACATGCCCATTTATGCGTCCAGAATCCAAACTAATGTAATCAATCCACAGGCTAATCACATGCCTAAACTCACTGTAGTTTTCGGAGGACTACACGCTGACTGGTCTGCGGCCCAGTAGACAGGGCTTGCTATCACAGAGCCACCGATGGCAGCCTTTTTTTGTGGCTTTCCCTTTCCCAGTTCAGGCGAGGACTACGGCTTCGCGCAGCTGGGGGGCTGTCAGATCTGCGTCCAGGCCCGTGACAAAGAGAGGATCCTCGGCAGGGCAGTGGATTCGTGGGGCCGCCCATGTCAGCGTTTTTTCCATCCAAGGACCTGGATTCTTGGCGATGTCTTCCACCGTTGCCTGGCAAATTGTAGGTTTCGTTTCCCATCCGACTGGTTGAGGTGACGTGCCGCTTCGTCCTGCCTTTAGAGGCCTCGAGTGCTTCCATGGTGCTCGATCGAGGCAAGTTTGCTGTCACCTACGACTTCGGCTCGCGGCCGCCAAGGCGCTTTCAAGACCCCAAGCCGAAGACTCCCAAGCTCAAGACTCCGAAGCTTTTTGCGGTTCGCATTTGCAGTTCTTTCTCCTTGAGGATTGGGTTACCGCCCGGACGCCGTCCCTGGAAAAGCAAGTCCCTGGCCACTTGCTCCGGACATCGCTGTGCGTGAAAAGACTGGACGCTGGGCTGGCCTCGTGCTCTGTATGCTCCGCTTCGTGTCAGGTTATTTTCGGGCATTGCGGTGTCGTCGCAGCCGCATTGGGTTTTCTCGTGGCATCGATTCACATCAGGCCGAGAGGGAGGGGAGTTGCGACTGGATTTTTGCCAGGTCACCTGACGACTGAAGCCTCGGAGAGTTGCGCTGCATCGGGTTGATTCGCAGTTCGAAGTAATCATTGAGCTCGGAACGGGTGTTTTTTTTGCTGTTGCTGCTTTTTTGTTGTGCAAGCCCCGGCGAACCAGCAGGTGAGTGAACTGCCGGTGGGGGCCCAAACAGCAAAACCCCTT